AATTTTGCTATTCGTGAATATTTGAAATCTGAACTGTTTTGAATTAATATAATTTTAGTTTTGATAAATTCTTCAAAAAATTAAAATACATTGACAAATTCTGACATAACGTACATATATGTACATCAACAAGGTAGTTATAAAAAAGTTATAAGACTCAGACTTACAAGAACCTGGGTTTTTATAAATTTTAATATTTTGCTTTAGATTGTTAGGTATTTTCTTGTAAATTACTTACCAATGCTACATTACTTATCATTATCCCGCTTACATTGTACAATTTATAGAGCGAAACGCAAACGATTATGGTATGATAAAAAAATTTTAAAAATTATTCAAAGCAATCAAAATAGGGACAAAAAGAAATTGGTCTGAGGGAATTACCCATCATTAATTAAATCAAACTAATGAAATTACTCATTGACTGATTTTTCGGCAATTTCTCAATTTTTCTTTTGAACTGTAGTATCACAATAATGAAATGACTGTCAGATATAAATTGGACAGTAATTTCATTAAGGAATACTAAAAAAAAATTTAATATTTATAAATTTTTCTATTTAAAAATTTTCAACATGCTGTGTACCCAATAATACTCCTACATACCACCTGGTTTTACATATTTAATAAAATGTAATATTACCATGCAAGCAAGTGTCATAAAATTCTCATAAATATTAAATAGAGTATTTTAATAAATTTCCAGTTTTATAAAATTTTTCATACAAACTAATGTGAAATGGAAAAAACTTTAACCATATTTTTTCAGTTCATTTTATACTTGTAATAATTCTAACAATGAGAACTAGAGAAAAATTTAGGAGCAGTTGTACCCAGGCTAATAAAAAAATACCAAGAAAAAACAAAGGTTATTTAATATTTAATCTAATATGAAAGTAATTAAAGCCGTAAATTTTGTGAAATGAGCTTTACTTTTGGAACATAAATTTTTAAATGCAAAAAAAATTTATGCATTGAGACTTAAGAAAATTTTATTCATTATCTTTTAAAATAAATCTTTTTTGTAGTTAAGAAATATTAAATATTTCACATAAATCTTACTTTTATAGCTGAACTTTAAACTAGATATGTATATACTACATAATAACTAATTCTTAGGTATAAGATTCACCGTTAGATTCGAGAATTTCTCATTTTAATAATTAATTTTGAATTAAATTAAATGTCTTAAATTTGAAGAGATCTTTTAAATTAAATGTTTTAAATTTGAAGAGATCTTAAATTTGAAGATATTACTAGTCCAGCAATTTCCGAAAAAAATATGTGTTTTCAAAATTATATCGTCTAATTTCGACTCGAAGTTATGTGTGCACGTTTATGTGAACATTTTAAATATTCGTTTCAAACCTATATCTCTTTTAAAAATTCAGAAAAAATGTAGTGAACCAAAAAATAGGTTATAAGAAACTGGGAAATTTATAGAAATTGAAAGACATAGTTTTGGAAATCTTCCCCATCATATTTTTCAATTTAATTAAATTAAATGTTCAAATAGATTTATAACATATTTTTCAATCAAACAAATCACGAAAATGTTAAGTTTTCTGTAATATTTTGTTTGTGAATTAAAATGATAAAATTTCATAAAAAAAAAAACTAAAGTCCTCAAAATCTTATAAAAATCCACCTTCAAGCTATGACGAACAGAAATAATAAAAAAAAAACATTCTCCATATTGTTTGTTTTTTGTCCTATTTCATTTGATCTCAAGGAGTTTTCCACCAAATTTTACATGAATTGAGAAAATTGTTTTTATTCCCTATGAAATATTCTTATTTTTAATTTTGGTTATAAGATTGCCGTGGGTTGTTTTCATTAAATAAATAAAATAATAAATTTTGGCTAAAAGTAAACATTTAAGAGAAAAATAAAGTTATGCGACTTTTGATGGTTTTGTTGTGGAAAAATTTTGTAAAACTTATGAATTTTTTTTTTTACTTTACATGACATAGTTATGGAACATAGACCTATACGTTACTTAAGTGCATGACCTATTTTTTTATTATGGATAATTTTTGTGGAAGAGTATTGATGATAACATTCTTATATATGATTCTTATACAAGAAACGCATTTAGAAAATTATTTTTTAGATTATCTACGCTATTTCGATAGGTTCACAAACTTACGAGCTGTTTTACAAGCCTATCTAAATTATAAAGCCTTAAGATTTTTAATACTAAAAATAATGTTAAGACATTTGCATAGTCTCTACCTAATGAATTCATGTAAATTTTCAAACTACTTTAAATATTAAAAATATTTATGTTAAACAATCAAACTAAAAAAATCTGATGTGGTCAGCACATAACCGACCGCATTGTGTATTGTCTAGTTAAATGAAAGTGTTACAGAATATTATAAAAATGTCTGTTAAATACTTCATTCCAATTTTCAGGACATTAGTAAGCTTATAGTTAACATACTTAGAAAAATGTAAATTTGGCTCTTAGTAGAGTTTCGCTTTGTGCTACCCGAATTCCCTGAAATGCTCGCCAGTTAGTTTCGGTAACAACCAGAACTCAAATATCAAATTTCAAGAAATTCCATCAATTTGTTCTGTGGATATGGTGAAAAATGTAAAATCGGCCCGCAAATCAGTTCTTGAGCCCTGATCTTTCCAAAAAAGTTATATGTTCATTGTTTTAATATAAGGAATTCATATATTAAATTTCAATGAAATCGGTTGATTATTTCTCTTTATATACACAAAAGTGTATGTTTGGCCCGTAGTAAACGTCTAGTTGCCGATGCCTGATCTTTCCAAAAAATTTACATCTTCATTGTTTTAATACGGGGAATTCATATATTAAATTTCAACGAAATCGGTTGATTATTTCTCTTTATATACACAAAAATGCATATTTGGCCCGTAGTAAACGCCCAGTTGCTGATGCCTGATTTCTTCCAAAAGTTAGGAATGTTTGCGTATGATCGAGCAAAGCTTATGTATGAAGTTTCAAGTAAATCGGTTGAATACTTTCTTCAAAATGGTGAAAAATGTAAAATTGGCCCGCAAATCCATTTTCGAGCCCTGATCTTTCCAAAAAATTTATATGTTCATTGTTTTAATACGAGGAATTCATATATCAAATTTCAATGAAATTGGTTGATTATTTCTCTTTATATACGCAAAAATGTATATTTGGCCCGTAGTAAACGTCTAGTTGCCGATGCCTGATTTCTTCCAAAATATACGAATTTTTGCGGACGGTCGAGCTGAGCTTATATATAAAATTTCAAGTAAATCGGTTGAATATTTTCTTCAAAATGTTCAAAAATGTAAAACAGGCCCGCTAAAAAGTGCAGTTCCCGAGGCCTGATATATACCAAAAGTTGATCGATCCGTGCCATGGTGGAAACAAACTTACATATAAAATTTCATCAAAAGCGGTTCAGCCGAACTTGAGATACACGCGTGCACACACAGACCGACAGACGGACAGACCGACAGACCGACAGACCGACAGACCGACAGGATGCTAAAAATAGTTTATTTACACTTCCCTACTATGCAGAAGTACGTTCCCACCGAAAACTCGATATGCAAAATTTGTTGCTATCACATAACCTACCTATTGTTTACACAATACGGTCGGTAAAAATATATGTAAAAATAAGCCACTTACTTACTGCATATTACATAAATAGCTTTCGTGTATTAATCGTTAGGTTTACAATAAAGATCCAAGCTAAAATAATAAAGAAATATTAAAATCTGCATTTCATTCAAATAAGTATTATAGGTACCTACTTACTAAACGTATTGTGCAGAAACTATTACTTTATTTTATTGTATTTATTGTTGGTGTTCCTGTTGGTTTTACAATCGGTTTGTTACCTCACAATTCGAATGAATTTGATTTGAGGAAAAAAGCTCTACTTATAATATACATACATACATATTATATTGTTTTCGAAGTAACCTTATACTGAAACTCCAGAATTTTAAAAGCCGACAGGTATTGCTTTTTTTTTAATTATTTCATATAAAACGCATTGCATGCATTTTGTCGTTTTGTTCTGGGATTTACACCTTTCACCCAACAAAATTATATCATGATACATATATAGGTGCTATTTCCTTAACATGATGCCAACATGATGCCAAGCGATGATATCCAACGATGGTAATTTTAGATTTTTTTTAATTTTCATTTGAAATTTGCATCAGACAAAGCATCACATCCAAACAATATTTTGATGATGACGGGGTAAATACTTCAGTAATTGAATTTCGAACACAATAAAATTATTTCAATCCTAGTTGTAATCTTTACGAGTATCGGAATATGAACTCATCCTTGTACTGTTTATTCTAACCACGCTTTCTTAGCGTTGTCTTTCTGATTGCAGTCTGATTGCTTCTGATTGCAGTCTAATCCGAATTTTAAGAACAAAGACAATACCGTTAACAATTTTTTTATATTATTTGTATGTACTTCATAACATAAGAGTCGAAAAGGGTTCCCGTTTTGTAGAACCAATTTTTATAGCATTAACAATCAAATGTAATTGGTTATAAAAGCCCATTTTGAAAACTTCGCAATTAATTTTACAATTCATTAGCAGCTAGACTTTTTTTACTTTTCAAAAGCTTCCATTCTTGTTTCTTACTTTATAAACTAATAAAAACTTATGAATTTAAAAAAATATCATCTAAATTATTTTCTAGTGATTATTCAGCTTTTTTTTTAAACGATTGGAACGCTCCTATAGAATACTAGTGACATTTTGAAACTAAAATTTCCATTTGCCTCATTTTCGTTTATTTCCAATACGACTCAAATTTTGGAGAGATTTTTTAAATATTTTATGTAGGAATTTCTTTGTTTTATCTAAGACCAAAACCATTCTATTAAAGTATACAAAAAAATACCTTGTTACAAGTACAACCCTTGTTGTCAAAATCAGCTGTTGTGATTATAATTAAATAAATATTTTGAAAAAATTATCCCCAACACATATTCATATTTCGCATATCATTAATTAGAAGAATTGTTTGGATTACGTCTTAATTTTACATCAGTTTGAAGAATATAATTAGTTAAAAATCATTTGTCGCCATCACTACCATAAAAAAATAATCAAATTAATGATTTTTAAATAAATAATCTGTGTATATGAAATAATATTCAAATTTCAATATGAAAAAATATTAAAAGAGAAAGTAAACAGCAGTGAAAAAACAAGAAACACAAAAAATCTAAAAAAAAATTGGTTAAGAACATTTATATTTATTGAATAGGTCAAGGCATTCATCAAATTATAATATTAATATTGAAAGTAAATGCATGCAACCCATGCAATCCACGCTTTATATCTCTTTGTTCAAACATTAAACAAAATTTGAATTCTATTTATGACAAAGTTTTTAAGGATTACAATTCCATTTAAAAATATATTAGAATGAGGCATGGTACACAAAGCCGACTCAATTTAATTGAATCTGACGAATCGGAAAATGAAACCAACAATGATGATAATTTAAGAGAAGGAGCTGTAAATAATACAGCTATAGTTAATGTAGAAGTTCATGAAACAAATAGTCCAATTGCACATAATAACAAAGAAAATGACATTAGAAATAGAGCAAATAGCAACGAAGGAAGAAATGATGAAAACATAATTGATGATACATCATCATATCAAGATGATGAAGATAAAGAAAGTGTTGGAATTATTGTTCAACCATTAAGTTCTAATGAAATCATTCATAATATACCACCAGATAGATTTAATTATAATTATTTAGTGTTTTATCTATTAGGAATAGCTACAATGTGCCCATGGAACTTTTTTGTAACAGCGGAGGATGTAAGTAATACGCAAAATAAATAATAATCTAATTATAATTCAAATACATAAACTAATATATGTATACAAAATTTATGAGTAAAGTTCAATTTGATTTATTCTAATTTTATAAAATGAATTTTAGATGCAAAAAATAGAATTAAAACCATGATGAAAAGAGAATCAAGGATAATAAATATAAAATGATCATTAATTACAGCATTAAAATGAAATCAAATATTTTCAGACTTTTTATTATACTGTAATTTAAATGCCATTACGCTCCATACGTTTATAGTTTTTGTTCATTTCAACAAAGAGCGATAACAATATATTTATGCACCTACAAATATATATTATTGAATATTTTATTATTTTTATAATTTTTTTATTGTATGACAGACACTAAAAAATTGATTAATTATTGATAAATATTTTTTCGGGAATAGAAAAACAATTCAATTTATGTTTTTACTTTAGAGGGACGCATTATTTAATTTAAACTGTAAACATTCTATTTATTTAATTTATAAGCCAATATAGATTATGATTCTAATTTATCAAAAACATGCCTGTACTTACGACTTTATTATTTTTATCATCAGGCAAAAATTCTGTTTTTTTTTTCATCCATGTTCTAATATACGGGCTTATAATATTATATTATAAGAGTAATATAACAATTGCATGCATAATTTTAAATATAAAATATCCATGTAAGTGCCTTTATTCTTGTTACCATGAAAGATCAACAAAAAATGAATCATAATTCAATATACATATATATATATATATCGTAGATACAATTACAATATCACTTTATAAATATTACATTGAAGAACTGTGATTAATATTTTTTGTTATATCTCTCATTATTTATAGTATTGGATGTACAAATTCCGAAATGTTACTGATAACACAACTGATGTACTTACACCATGGCAAAAAAGTTTTGAATCCGATATCACAGTTACAGCTTCCATGTCGGGTACATTATTTCTTATCTTGAATACAATTTATGGATATTTATTTTCGATAAAATTAAAAATGATTGGATGTTTAACAATAATATTGGCATTTTTTGTGATAACAACAGCATTTATCGAAGTTAATACTGATAATTGGCAAGCTGGTTTTTTTGCTTTAACAATTGGAACTGTAATTAATATTAATAGTAAGTAAAACTAAAACTTTAGTAAAATATTTCTTATGATTAACACTAAAAAAAAAAATTTTTTTTTTTTGTAGTATTTTCCGCAATATTTTCCGGTGCACTATTCGGGATTGCCGGTTTATTTCCGTCAGAATATATGACCGCTGTAGTGAGTGGTCAAGCATTAGGTGGTATCCTAACTGCTTTGGCTTTTATTGTAACATTAGCATTTGGAGCATCAATTAAAACAACAGCATTCGCATATTTCGTTCTTGGAAATATTATAATACTTTTATCCATTATATTTTATATTATTATGTCAAGAACACAATTCTTTAATTATTATTTGTATGAGAAATCTGAACCACTAATACCATATGATCCAAATGATTCCAATAATGCTGTATTAATTCCAAATATAAAACAAGTTTTTCACAAGATATACATATATGCATTAATAATATTCTTGGTATTTTCAACATCATTATGCGTTTATCCATCAGTTACAGTATTGGTTAGATCACAGTATCATGGAAATGGGAAAGCATGGAATAGTATATAAAAAACAATTAATTACTTAAATATCTTGAATAATATTATTTAATTTTGTAGATCTTTACTTCATGCCTGTTATAAACTATTTATTATTCAATTCCGGTGATTATTTAGGTAGGATATTAGCTGGTTTGTACGAAAAGGTGTGTATTAAAATTATATGAATTTTTTTATTTAAATTTACTCTTATAAATAAAATTAGAAAAAAATTAAGTATAAAATTTATAAATAGCACAATGAAAGGTATAATACTATATTTATAATAATTATTTTTAAATATTAATATTAAATATTAATGCAGTAGTTTATACAACTTATAAATACTAACATTATATTGTTTTGATATAGAATGTGAGCCCCTATTGCATTTAGAATTACGATAAGAATTCAACAATTTTTTTTTTTATAATTTTATATAACCCTCATTAGCCTGAAAATCCACACACAACTTTGATGTGGGCGATATTACGAATGGGATGTGTTCCTGCATTTTTATTATGTAACGTAGATCACGTTTACATGCCAACGCTTATACATTCGGATGCAACATTTATAATGTTAATGGCAGTTTTTTCTGTTTCCAATGGATTTTTAGCTAATAATGTATTAACGAAAGTGCCAAAGTAAGTAAACGATCTACTATTGTTTCCCAATTAATATTACTTTCGTATTTTCTTTTCATTTTAGAATTGTAATGCAACATGAAAAAGAAGTAGCATCATCTATTATGGTAACTTCTTTAAGTACGGGTTTAGCTGTTGGATCAGCTGCCAGTTTATTTTTAGTACAAGTCTTATAATTAATAAAAAGAATAAAAGCATTAAAAAAAATTTTAATTTATACCTCGAAAAATTTTCGATAGTAAAATATTAAATATTTTCTTGTTTTTAATCTATAAATAAGACAATTTAATGAAAATATCTAAAATGTAAATATAAATATATAAATGATTATGTTTTATGAAACTCGAGTTAATCAACTTTATATTTAAGAATGTACGTATTTTTCGATTAAATTAATTATACTTTAAATATAATTTAGTAACAAAAGAAATTTTATAAACATATTTTTGACAAAGAGAAGAATGTTTTGCGAAAGGTGCTAAATATCTTTAATAAAAAAACATATTATGTAATATAAAAAGATTATTAATTTTAAGTAAAAATTAACTTTATGAAATATAAATATGATATTTTGATTACTATTTAGCGACATTTTTTTTATTTAAGTTCTTATTTCAGTGCATTTTGAATATATCATTTTGTGTTATTATGCCGATTTCTTTTAATTGAATACTATATCTTGTTTACTCCCAAATACCGATGCAATTACTTGATTGCCGTTTTTTATTTTATAAATAACCTGATACTTTGAAAAAGTGCACGAACCTCTTATATAATTTTCATTCAATTGTTATAGTTTTCATGTACGTACACAGGCATGCACAAAATATGATAAGAATGAAAAATAGTAATGGATTCAAGGATATTGTGAGCAATTATAGTTATTTGAATATGTACATATCAAAAACTAAATTTTTTTCACTTATTATGTGAGCAACATACACAGTTCTTAAAAAGGATCGTTAAAAGGAAAATTTTGAATACTGTCCAAGTGTACTGTAGTAAATAGTTATACAGATAAAATGTGTTCCATATATAATAATAATTAATATAATCAGCCTCTGCGATAACAAACAGTGTTTGTTAGAATCTCCAGGCGTTAAGAAAGTGAAAAAAAATGTGTTTAAGCAGGTACTCTAGAAAGTTGAAATTTTTATGCAAAAAGAATGTTGTGCAATATGCCTCTCGCTTTTTCCAAAAATATACCAAATTCATTCACTATTCCGTCATTTTGTTTTTAAAGGTAATAAATTTTTTCGATATTCTACAATTGTTAAGTGATTAAAATAAAATGATAATTGGGAAAAAGGTGAAAATTTAATTGAAATATGAAATTTTTAATTTAGTTCTTTTACTCGTAACTACATAGAAAAGTGATTAAAAGAACTAATTTTTGTGTGCAACGTCAAAAACATCATATCTACATACATAAAATAGACAAGAAATAAATTACTAATCTGGAACTAATTTCCTTTACATGCACTTGTACGAAACATTTATGAGAAGGTATTATGTACATAAGATATGATATACACAAATTAATTTATTAACATTTTTAATACATAAATCGATATTTTATATTAAAATAATAAATATATGTATGTATATAAGGTATGGCTTCATTATTCTATAGATATGGATTTGAACTCAAATGTTTATTATACATATAAAGTTGTCCAATCATCATACATGAATACGAGTACATAATGTATGACTAAAGCTTTATTTAATAAGAAACATAAATAGTATTTTTATTTTATTGTTATTTTACATTTTTCTTCTTATTTTATATATTATCATTTTCTTCAACAAATAATATATATATATATATATATATATATATATATATATATATACATATCATATTAAGTAATACAAAACGGAATAATTCAAATATGAGTCAGCGAAGTTAAAAAATTGTGTAAAAAATAAAATAATTTAAAAACATAAAAACAAAATATTTTTATATTTAAATTACATTAAATATATCGTTAGTGGGCAAAAGAGAAATAAGTATGTTAAAATTGTTTGCATTCCTATTAAGTACCTATTTCTTATTTTTTAGCTTTTCAACGGAAAATTTTAGGAATTTTTTTTTAACTCCACCCTATTAGTACAATAAAAAGACTTTACTTATTAACGAAAACGTAGAGTATTTAATTAAGAATTTAAATCTATATTCTATTTAAAATACTCCAAAATAAATCCAATTTTCTTTACCAACATTTGAAAAAATTTTCTTATTTTACATTTTTAATAAAAAAATCACATTTCAAAGTATTTCAATACAATCTACAGTGAATTACTTTCTAGTGGAACGTGTGTATATCAAATATATTAATGAAATATCATGGTTAAAGAAATATAGATGTGCATTATTAATTTTATATATATTAAGCATATATGTATATAAAATATTTGTAAATTAAAATACAGTTCCAGTTAATTTTTGGAAAGATAATTTTTATTCATGAAAATTTTTAAAAATTTGCTGCAATTATATATTGTGTCTGACCCTTAATGAAATTTATTTTGCTTGCAAAATTTTGAAAGAAAAGCTCTCATCTAATTCTTTTCGTAATTGAGAGAATTTTTTAATTAAATTATTATTTTCTTCCTAATTTTCTCAAAATTATTGCTATTTTAAAATTTTTATTTTAATATTTTTATACAATTACAATTTTAGTGCCTTAATTTATGCAATTTGAACTGTATATTCAATATTTTATTATAAAAAGTAAAAAAAAAAATATTCTAGAATTTTTAATATTTGCAAATACAAAATAATCTAAAATGCATTTAATTAAATGTAAATAATTTATTTCTAATTAATTTTTTTATATAATTCCATATAAAAACTTGTTATATAATATATATATATTATGTAAAATTTATTGATTCTAGAAAGTCTCATTTTAAAAATTCTATACTGTTGATATTTTAATACAATATATATGGGTATATTGTAAAAATATTACGATATTGTTATATTGATATATTTATGCAAATCATATAAGAGTCTGTATAACACTTATATTCAATAGCCAACAAAGAGCATAAATTTTTAATCAAATTTTAATAATATTTCAGTATATATCACATATATAATACATAGCATATGTATAATATTATACTATATATACAACAATTTCAAAATTATATACAATTATATGTATATTTATTTTTATGTAATTTATACCTATGTTATATCAAATTATATATAATTATTTAATTATATGTCTATAAGTACTCTATACACATTAATTAGATCGTTTACATGAATATGCACATATTATATACTTATCTGTATATACACATATAATTTTATTTCGCATTGAAATAAACTATATAAATTATGTATAACATTATGTATAACAAATATTTATTATAACAAATATACGTTACATTAAAACTTTGACTTATTTAATAAAAACACTACTTACAATAAAATTGTCGTTATGTAATTATATTCGTATATGTATGTACCAAACTTATGCAAAACAAGAAATAAATGAAATATAATCCTAACATTATTTATATAGTTTTACAAATGTAATACACATATACATTATACATATAATTAAATAAATAAAATTTTATTTTTCGTAAACCAATCATATTGTCTTCCCTTGTAATAATTTTATCATCAATTCATTTTACATACAAAAACAACATAAAAAAAAACATTCATATAATTACTACACTACACATTTATATTTAACTTATATTTCGAAATAGATTTCATTTTGTAAACATAGTTTGTATTGCATACAGATTATATTGGTATACAAATATATTATATACGTAAAATCATATATATATGTATATATATATATATAGGTACTTAAAAGGTAAACTACATTTAAATTACATACATTCTAACATAAATTATATGTATGTACGTATCTTATAAGATATTATAAAATATACCTATAGTTCAGTTTCATACATACTAACATATCGTAATATATCGTACAAAGTTATGTGTATGACATTTATTATATTGCCTACAAAAACAAGGGATTATGTTGATTATCATTTCGTATACCATTCTATTCTCTTTATTTTATGTATTTTTCAATAACTATAAAACAATGTAACAAAAATTTTTACTTACCTTTTTTAACCGTTATTATAAACATATGAATACTATATAGGATCATATCGAATTATATACGAGTACAATTGTACTTACATTCATTCAATCATTCATACATACAAATGATAATATCAATTTCTTTTGTTTCTATTTTTTCCTTTATCATTTTCTTTAGTTTTGATTTGTTTTTTTTTTGTTTTTGCCTCTACATAATTGTTTTCTTTCTTGTTGAAGAGGATACTCCTTTTATTTTCCTTCCTTTCCTTCCCTATATATATATATATATAATATGTATATCATAAATCTTCCTATAAAAGAATTATTGTTCATTGTCATCTCTTTTTCACTCTCTCTTTTTCCCTCTTGCTCTCTTTCTCTCTTCTGTTTTTCTTTTTCTCTTATTTTTTTTAATTTCACCTATCTATATAAAAAATATGTAATTACAAAATATTCTACTTCTATTTCTACTAACTTAAACTACAATACATAAAAAAAGAATGATAAGAATTCTCTCATTAATATTTTAGTTAGATATAGATACTTGTAAAAAGAAAAATATAAAAAATTTGGTACCTATAAAAATAGGAAAACAAGAAAAATATTAATATTAAAATGTTTTATTTTGTACATACATATATAAAAAAAACATACTATAAATAACACAAAAATAACAAATAGAATAACACGAAATAAAACATAATTTGAGTATAACTTGTTTTTAATATAGAAAAATTTCCAAGACAACGGTAATGGCACAAAAAAGAAACGTAAAAACAAATTGAAATTTTGGCCGTTGGTTTGAAAAACTAGCACATTTCCGTTAAACAAGTGGTCGAAATACCTACTAAAAAAAGAAATTCTACTTGCAATGTTCTTGTAATATCAAGGTGTTATTTTGTGCATACTTTTGGGGGCAGGAGTAAAATAGTTATCATTATTTAACTTAATGGAAATTTCTTCATACAACTGCAGAACAGATGGATGACGTAATCAAAGGAACGAGTTAAAGGCAGAAAAATTAATTAAAAAATTTTTCTCCCCGTTATCATTATGTTAACAGAAAAATTGGAGACTGGATAATTTAAAAAATTATGTTTTAAATTATAAAAAATATTTCACTTGTTGAGTAAACGCTACCCGTTTATTTGATGATTTTAAAGAAATTTGATAAAAATTTATTTTACAATTGCAATTCACCATCTTACAGAGAAACGATACTAAAATCTTCTAAAGCAAAGTTACTGTTTAAAGTTTTTTTCGGCCACTTTTTTTGTAATGTCATTTTTGTCTTTGCTATTTTACGATAAAAGAAGCAAATACTTATAATCCTACACAT